AATCATCCTATTTGCAACAATATAGGGTATCATGTTAAGTGAAATAAGCCAGACAGAGACAGACAAACACCACATGATTTCATTCATATGTGGAAGATAAACAAACACACGGACAAAGAACAAAGTAGTGATTACCAGAGGGGAGCACATTGGGGGGTGGGCCAAAGGGGTAGAGGGGCACACACAAACGGTGACAGACGGAAATTAGAATATTGGTGGTGAGCATGATACAGTCTATACAGAAAGTGTTAGATAATAATGTACACCTGAAAGTACACAATGTTATAAAACATTATGACCTCAGTAAAATAATTGATAAAAAATTTAAAAACAATAAAGTTATCATTCATGGGAAAACAGGACAGTGTATTTCATTGATGGAGGGAAGCGTATAGAAAAGTTTTGTTAGAGACTATTGAAATGCAGAATCAAGACTTCTTCAAGACGCTGGTTGTATTCTCCTGTTCCATCTTCTTCAACTGTTATTGGATAATAAATTTAAATCAACAAATGGGTGTTAATACAGGAAAAATAATAGGTGAACCAATTCTACTCTCATCAAAAAACTTGAACAAAACAGAAGTTCAGAAATATATCATATTCACCTTACTGTTACAGCCAAGGATAAAGATGTTTAGAGAACTAAGGATACCAGCCTACCACATCAGCCAAATGGAATGGCTCATTGGAATCCTCATTTACACATTTTGATAAGGCAGAATGATGAAAACTCATTGTTGTCTTTTTGTACAAACTTGTCTGGATTATATTTGCACAAAATTTCATTTGGGTTCATTATCATTCATCCTTTTCCTTTTCTCTGGCTTAATAAATCCTTGCAAAGTAAGGCTAAACACAAATGGAGAAATAAGCTATCAACCTGAAATCATATGTGTTTATTTTTGTTCTTGAAGAAAGTTAAATTGCTCAAACTTAAATTCAAAATTTGCCATTGTCAATAAGTTGGTCTATATGTATTGAGCACTTACACGTTCCTGAATTGAACACATGTTCTTTAATTCTGTAATATGTAGCAAAGGATTTAAAAATGTAAGAATTACAAGAGATTGCATTAACATCTATATCAGATCACATTAGTTCATTTAATTTTGAGTAGAAAAAAATAAACCATGCATTGACTCTTTCACTAATAAATATATTACCAAAATACCTTTACATCTTTGATTTAGAAGCACACATGGACGAAAAACCCAAATGTTAAAAAACATTTGGAAACATGAATAAACACATATCAACGTATATTTTATATACTGAGTTTGCTTAAATAAAAGTGACTCACAGTTTGTAAGGAAAAGCTTTCCCACTCGTTCCTGGGTCCGTTAAAAAGGATGAATGGTCACTGGCCGAAGGAGAAAACATTAGAATTTATAAATTAATAAAAAGCAACTACAAAACACTTTCAAAATAGAGAATTAGAAATAAAGCTTTCTTTTACTGTTTAAATTCATTGATTGATTTCAGATCTTTTAATAATATCATGTAATATGACAAGCAGTATGCATTTCCTTTTGTAAAGTACTGATTTGTCCTCAGTGATTAGCCAGTATTAAGAACGTCATATGTGGAGATAGAAAAATATCCAGTTCCTAAAGTATTTTTAAAAATGAGTACTTTGTTGGACGCATGTCTTCATAATCAATTCTTCCAAGATATCTCAGCTAAGCATATCTAAAGACATAGTTCACTTTTAACAGAAAACATTTTTTATAAGAATGTGTATATCAGTTGACGGGAAAGAACTTTGCCTGTTCTAATCCCAGGTGCACACCACTCATCATGCCATGCTGAGGTGGCATCCCACACGCAAAATAGAGGAAGATTGGCACAGATGTTAGTTCAATGACAATCTTCCTCAAGCAAAAGGAGGAAGATTGGTAACAGATGTTAGCTCAGGGCCAATTGTCCTCATCAAAAAAAAAAAAAAAAAAGAGTAACATGGAATTTAAATCTATATTTTTAGGTTTAAGGACAAAATTTCTGTTAGATTGAGTCTGACATATAGGCTTACCAAATTAATCTTAAAAATTTGGTGTTATATATGATTTTTGTCATAATCAAAACAGTTTCTTAAGAACAGTGTCTTAAGCCTCAGTTTTCTTATCTGTAAAATAAATATAACATTATTTACTATTGTAGACACTACTTATCAAACTCAATGAAGAAATGCAAATAAAGCACATGATTTACATACAATAGCTACTTAATCAATATTAAACATTGCATTTTTTCTACTCTCTCCACATTGTGTTCCTCAGAGAGCTCATCCATATCTGAGATGTCAATCAGAAACTGAATGGGAAAGAACATATGAACTATGGTTGAATCAGGTCAGGACCCCAAACCGAGGTCTTCAAATCGAGGGATGATACTTTTCATAGCAAATAACTTTCTGGCCATCTTTTTCGTCATATTTCAACTGATGTATTGAATGAGAATATATTTAAACTGCTTTACAAGTCTAAATATCTAAATTTCTGATTCCTAAATATGTATTTTCACCTGTGACCACTTACCTAATTTCTAACCCCTCCTTTCTAATTTCTGAATGCCCAACCACTTCCTCAATTTTACCAAGAGTAGAGTTCATTTGACTCTTTTGCCCAAGGTGGTTCTTTCTCCCAAAGTCATCATTTCTAACACTAGCAAGTACATTTCACAGGCAAAAGTCATAAGTTGTTTTGCATTTTTTTCCCTTTTATAATCCATATCCAGTCATCTTTGAAACCATGTGTATTAATTATCTGTTGCTGTATGATAAGTAACCCCACAAGTTAATGACCTAGAACAGCAAACATTTATTTTTCTCCCAGTTTCTGTGGGCAGGAATCTAAAGATGGCTTCACTGGGTCTTTCCTCAGGCTCTCTCATGAGGATGCAATCAAGGTGTTGATCAGGGATGCAGTCATCCAAGGCTTGACTGAGGGAGGACTCACTTCCAGGACCACTCTCACGGCTCGTTGACTTGTTGTTGAATTGCAGGTTTCAGTTTCTCACTGGCTGCTGACCAGTGGACTCCTCAGGGGTGTTTTTTGCCACCTTGGTCTCTCTATAGGACAACGCACATTATGGCAGCTGGTTTCTCTGAGTGAACAAATAAGAGATCAAGAGAAGTGAGCAGAAGGGAAGGTAGAGCATTTATTTTATTTATTTTTTGCTGAGGAAGATTGGCCCTGAGCTAACATCTGTTGCCTAGCCTCCTCCTTTTGCTTGAGGAAGACTTTCCCTGAGCTAACATCTACTACAATCTTCCTCTATTTTATATGTGGGACACGACCACAGCATGGCTTGATGAGTAATGCATAGGTCCGTGACTAGGATCTGAACCCATCAACCCTGGGCCACCAAATCAAAGTGCGTGAACTTAACCTCTCCACCACCAGGCTCGTCCTAATGCAGAGCATTTTTATAAGATAGTCTTGTGGGTGACATCTTGTCACTTTTTTGGTATATTATGCATTAGAAGTAAGTCACTAGGTCAATTTACTTGTATTGACTGTAAAATAACCAGCAAAAATTGAATGCTAAATACAGTATTAGGATAGAGCTAACAGAGTGGTTGGAAATTTTATTGTAGTACTTATGCACGGCAGGCAAATCAGAGCAAAGTGTATATACACATGTTTATATATAATCTAATGATTATTCTTCAAATCTCCCCGAGCTTGCTTGGTGAACAAAGCTAGGCTGTAACATAAATGTTGTAGACTCTTAAGCCCTTAATGATCAAGTTGATCTTAACATTTTTGTATCTTAATTTATCTGCTTGTATAATGAATGTTAGTCAGACATATGTTATTTATATAACTAATTTGTAAACTATCATTTTAATTATCTTATTAAAGTTCTAGTAACTTAATAAGTATAGTATTATTACCTTTGATTTATTTTTTAACTAATTTCCAAATTGGCTCTTTAGGTCTGCAATAAATTTTGTTGTTGCTTATTTTTAGTCTTATCAAAACCTACTACAAATGCAATTTTTTGAGACTATAATACCCTGATAAGTGTTGTAACAAACTCATGCATTGAATATAAAATATATAAATAAATTTGAATTGGTTTCCTATTTCTGCATGCTTGGAAAGGGTACATGTAGCAATTTTATTTTCTGAGGCAAAAATTAGGACATATGGTCCAATGCAGTGAGTCAAAAAAAGTCAGATTATTATAATCTGCTCTGTGCTGGAAAATCTGACATATATCCTTGCCCTGTGTGTATACGCAATTCTCTGAAAAATACTTTTTGAGCATTTTTCTTGAGTTATTTTCTCGTATTTACAGTGTCATTTTCTTCCCACTGAAATTGCAGTAAATTTTACTAAACTTGGTGCATTGCTAGGAATAAAAAAAGACAAAGAATCTAAATTTAAAAATCAATAGCTATAGCGCTTCCAAGTTATAACCATGCAGAACTTGCCTTGCTTGACGAGTGTTTGAATTTCAAACTGATGAATTAGGTTGCAAGAACATGAGCTCATAAAAATCATCCTTTTCCTGCTCTCATCTCATACTACCATATAATCAACATTTCATCTTCCTTTTTTTCCTCTATCATTTCAGTACTTTGGAGACAAGAAGCAAAAGTGTTTGTGTTAATTTTTTTTTCACTGTTCCAGCAGAGAAACTCAGGACATGAATCATAGAGCTAACAGCCCCGGAAAAGAGAGAGGCTGGCACAAATAGAAATTACATTTGGTTTTATAATTAACAACATAGGGAGCACTTTAGGACACAATTATTTCCCAAGTGTCATTGATTGTTATCTCTCTGCTGCCATTTTCCCATACTTAAGTCCTCACAGTATTATCGTTATCTGAGTCTGTATACAGTTTCTCTCTTTGGCACACACTGTGTTCTTTTCACCACTGATATTTCTGATGTTTCAAACACTAAGTGACTTTTCTTCAGGCTGCTAGGAGATAACAGAATTCATCTGTAGCCCTTGGCCATTCACACCTTCAGACTTCACTCATTCTTCTCTCACCATCTCTCTGTGACTAGGGACTGTCCCCTCTTCTGTGAGTTTTTAAAGAGTCTGAGAATGGAGAAAAAGGACTCCGAAGCTTATAAGGTAAGAATATTGATTGTATAACACACTTACTGTAAGTAGATTATAATATACTGGTAGGAAGTTTGCTAAATTTGAGAGTGTGCGGTAAATTAAAGGATTTCAGAGTTGATCTAGGAGGAGACAGGACCACAAAAGGCTGTACTGAGTGATGCTTGGACAGGGTCATATGAGAGACGAAGTCCTTTCCAACAAGACACCTTCCAGAGACAGCAGCGAGAGGCCACCACCCGGAAGCAGAATAAGGTCAGGAACCTCCAGGGGGAGAAGAGGAAGTTGGAGTAGGTGATGCATCAGCAGCAGCAGAATGAGGAGGCCCCAGGTCAGAGAGCACAAAGGGCAGAATCCGTATGGGGTCTTTTATTGCTAAAGGATTTGTCTTACCTTTACCACCAATATTTCTGGTTAATAAATGTTTGGTTAATAAACGTTGTGTGCGGTTTTGTGGAGTACACCACATTCATAGGCTCTAAATAGCTAAAACTGTGTTTACATGGACTATATTTAAAGCATTTGCAGATGTAAGAATTTGAGTTTGGCACTGACAGGCTTTGGGGTAACAGTGTAGTCTGCTGTGGAGAAATAAACAGCATGGGGGTCATTTTAGGCCAATACACAGGCGCCAACTCTGGCCCATTTATATAACAGAGTGTTCCATCAAAATAAAATGTCCACACAATAGATAAAATAAAATGTTCACCACAATATTTAGGACTGGAAGCTAAAAAAAGTATACCATATAGCTATTGATGCAATGGGCAAAAAAGAGACGATGAGTAAAAATGAATTCTGGGTGCTATGACTGTCCTCTGGGATTTGGGTAAATTTCATTTTAGGGTGTTTGGACAATAAATAATGTGGTAATTGCAATGGAGATGGAGAGATAATATGAAGATTAGTAACTAACCCAGGTTACTAAATCAAGACACTTATATTTTATATCCCCATAAAAATATCTAGAATGAGGTGCTATTTATGCAGCATAAGTATTATCCTATCTCTCCACTCAATTCTGAATTCCATGTGATCTATTGTTCATTGTCCGTATCCTAGGGATCCTGGAAAATTCATTTATTGATCATCTATTACTATAACATTATGAAATAAGAAAGGTCATCTTGAACAAAAGTACAACCAAAGAACACTGCTCAATCACTTGCTGGGCATGACAGAGAATATAGATTATTATTGACCACCAAAGACCAGACCATGAGAGGAAGAGAGAAAGACATTGAGGGAGAATTGCCAATGTTAGAATTTGACCTGGGCAATTCTGACGTGGTGCACTTCATAATAATTTCTGTTATTAACAAGGGTCCTATGTAACTAAGGAAATTTATGTACAATGGAGGAAAGGCTGGAAATATATAGCTAATAATAAATGACACAAAATAGGACAATACTAAAATGGCACAAGAGAAAATCTCCTCCAATTATTTTGAACAAGTTTTTATTAACATGGGCCCAAGTATATATGCTTTTAAGTAGTATTTTTTCTCTCCATGAGTGGTTCATTGTATTCTATGTGGGGGGAAACCCATATTGATGAGTTATAATGTGGGCTATTTGAGTTCTGGAACAAAATCATGCTTTCCTTGGTCAATGATTATTCTACTCCTGAAATAGAGGCCAAGTATAGTATTGGGTCCTGGAAGAGACTGAATGCTTTAACATGTGATACAAAGTAACTATAGAATCGAACTGCTCTTCTTGAAGTGGCTATTTTCTTACTTACTCACCTACAGAGCAGACGTGACCAGCAGCATGAATATCTTGGCTCAAGTAGGTTGAGAAATCACAATTAAGTTGCATTAGCAGGCAGATTCTTCGTGAGAATATCCTTGCTGCTCTGGCAGCTGAACTCTCATCATGGGAGTTATTCATGTTCAGTGTATGAATGAGAACAAAGATTCAAGACAGGTTTACAGATTTTTAAAATATAGTATACTGGGGCCAGCCCAGTGGTATGCTGGTTAAGTTCACGTGCTCCCCTTTGGTGGCCCAGGGTTCGCAGGTTTGGACCCTGGGTGCGGACCTACACATCACTCATCAAGCCATGCTGTGGTGGCATCCTGCATACAAAATACAGGAAGACTGGCATGGATGTTAGCTCAGTGACAATCTTCCTCAAGCGAAATGAGGAAGACTGTCAACAGATATGAGCTCAGTGCCAATTTTCCTCAACAACAACAAAAAATAATAATAATAATACAATGACCTGAAGTGAAAGAACACTGTTTCATGGCAGCCCTGATGGACAGTGAGTAAGTAAAACTCTTCCCTGAAGAGAATTTGGAATTGTGCACAGGACCCATCTTTCCTAGAAGGGAAGAGAGGTAGGAATAAGCAACTACATTGATTAATAAGCAATGGCTAACAGTTTGGCTGCATTAACAGGGAATTGGAAGAGAAGATAGGAAGATCAGTGACCAAGTGACAAACGTAATGGGAAGTAGGTAGATGGACCTCTCATAATGGGCCCAGACTTTGAAAGTATTTGTATAACATGAAAATGCTCCCTCCACATTGCATTAGAATCAGCTGACAAGATGATCTTCCTCCTTCCCCAGACACCTCAGTGTTTGCTCAATGAGCTCGTGAACATGTAGCCGTGGTGCCAGAAATACTGGTTCTGGGCCTGCTCAACAATATACTTCCCCTCATTAAGGCTCACGTGGCTGCCGCCACCACTGAGAGCCATTACACCAGCAGCAGAAATCTATGTCAGGTTGTCAATGTGGCAGAATCCCTATAGTATATCAGACAGCCACCTAGCAGCAGGTTGATTACAGTGGACTTTCATCATCAAAAAGACTGCCATGTTTCAGAAAGAACACCATCTGCAGACGACCGAATGTTGTATTGTCAGCTTTGTATCCAATGTAATATTGGCCCTGATAAAGGAATTTATTACACAGCCAAAATAAGTAGAGCAATGGGCTGACATTTGTGTGTTTCATCATTATCATCATGTACTATATCATCAGAAGCAGCTGACCTTATAATGGTGGGATGGCCTATTGAAACCTCAGTTATGGCACCATCCATCTATAAGGTGATGCCCTCCAAGGCTGTGGGGCCCACCTACAGGATGTAGAACATGCTTTGAATCATGACCAATACATGGTGCTCTTTCTCCCATAGACAGTAAACAGTCCGGGAGCTATTTCACTCAATGAACCACTGGTAAAATATTTGCCTTCATCCCAGGACTATATAATTTGATGACTTTAGGTTTCAGAAGCAAAAAGAGCCATCTTCCTACCAAGGAACACGGCGATGTTTTCATTGTACTGGACAGCTAGTAAGATTTGGATGAGATTTAGATGTAGAAGCGAGCAAGTAGAGACAGCTACTGGAAGACGGAAACTTCTTGTAAGCACACTGATAGAAGTATTTATTTCCTCTGGGTTCCTCTACAAACATCCACTTTCTAGAACCATAGCTGCAAAACAGTATGTGGTGATAGTATTGGTGTCTTTCACTGTCAGAATCCTATGGTAGTGTTGGCTCTTTTTCCTGGGTGCACTGCCACCAGTTGCATTGCTCCTAGTTGGATAGATTCGCATTAGAAGACTTTAGTAAGAGCAATTGAAATCATTTGATAACCCAGTTGATTAACACAAAAGTTTAAATGCAGTAATGCTAAAATAGTGAATGTTCTAACTAAATCAGTATATAATGGCAACAGGCCATATTACTATAACCTGGAGAGAAAGGACACAGTGAACCCGATAAGCTTGTTGTACTGCTCTGAGTTTAGCTAGAAATTCTGAAATATTTATATATGTTAGTATTTTCAGAGCCACACTCTCCTTTTAATTATCAGCGTTCGGTCTGTCCTAGTTACTGGGTGTATTAGTCAAGGTTCTCCAGAGTAACAGAACCAATAGGATATACAGAGAGAGGTATATATATGTAGGTATATGTATAGAGAGAGAAAGAGACAGGCAGAGAGACACAGACAGATAGAGACAGAAACACAAATAGAGAGACAGACAGACAGAGAAAGAGATTATTTTAAGGAATTAGTTCATAGAATTGTGGGGGTTAGCAAGTTCAAAGTCAGGGTAAGCCAGGAGGCCGGAAATTCAAGTAAGAGCTGAAGTTGCAGTTTTGAGTCTTAATTCTGCAGGGCAGGCCAGGCAGGCTGCAAACTTAAGGGGCGTTTTTATGCTGCAGTATCAAGTTCAAATTCCTTCCTTCTAGGGGAAACCTCAGTCTTTATTGTTAAGGCCTTCAACTGTTTAGATGAGGCCCACCCACCGACATTGTGGAGGGTGATGTACTTTACTCAAAGTCTATTGATCTAAATGTTAACCACATCAAAATATACCATCACAGCAACATCTAGACTGATGTTTGACCAAACAGCTGGGCACCATGGCCTGGCCAAGTTAACGCATAAAATTAAGCATCAAACCAGCCTACTAGATACCTAGTCTCATGGTATTTGGTACAAAATTTTGTAGTAGATCACATTGGGATTCTGACTGAGTACATTCTACCTCATGGGCTAAAATTGTTTATAAACTGACTTGTAGATACCTTATGTCTCCAATAGAGGCAGATCTGTTTACTACAACCTGGCTAGACAGAATCGAACTTGTTAGATTCTTGTGTATTATCCACCAATGAAGATAATACATGAGACTGTTGGAACACAAAACCCCAATAATAGTACCCAAATTTCTCAAGGTAAACAATCAGAATAAAGATGTTCTTATCAATTTCATACTCTGAAGGTCTTAAATTAGAGTTTATTAGAAGAAAGTTACCTATTTCTATACTGAAATTATCTTGGAATACTATTTACTTTTTAATTGAGAATCTTGATGTTTCTACCACAGGGCCAAACTTCCCCACCCTGGCGACATGGGTGGAAACTGACTATTAATACTCTAGCAAATTTATCATAGAACTGACAATGTCAGAATATAGAAAAGTTGATTTCTTTCTTGTGTCTAATATATATAAGTATGTGGGTTTGTCTGTATTTCTTA